GGAGGGGGGGGGGCTACATGTGTAGGAAATAGTGTGGTATAGTATATATAACACGATACATGGTCTATTGTACCATGTAGGTAGCATTTAGCATATGCATGCATTTTTTTTTTGTTTTGTTTTTTTGTTCTTCACTTCAAATCAGCGCTCACAGCACTAGTGCCGTTTATTCCAACCCGTGGTCACACAGAAGAGCCTCTCTCTACCCTCCCCTCCTGCGGTACTTTGCCTTCAATTTTTAATGCGAGGAGAGTTCAGCACTCTCTTCCTTCTGTGTACACACGAACTAGCGCTATCCACTTTTGGCCAGGAGCGGAAGCGAGAGAAAAACTCACTTTGCACGAAAAGCTCGCCTACGCCGGGAGTCGAACCCCTGACCTGACCTCTAGAAGGTTATGAGGCTACCAACTAGACCACCGGGGCGACCGGCATATGGCTATTCGGAACCTTACACCTCTCTTATTTACTTCTTGAAGGTTTAGCCGCTGCTGTGTGTTGTGGGTACATCGCATGTAAATATGCGTGTAGTAAAAGCCTATACATGATGCTGCTGCTGCCCTGTCTTCTCCATAGGGAACAGCAGACAGGGTGCTTACTTGCTGATACCTTTCCTTGCTGTTGCAGGAGGACCACATTGATTGCTGCTGCTAATAGGGGATACAAAGAAAGGTCTAGGGTTTGGTGTGGTCATCTTCACCTCTCTATTGTATGGGTTTTATAATGTTACACTAAAGCCTACATCATGATATATAGGCTTTATTATAAACAATCTAAGTCCTATACAAACATTCTAAGTCCTATACAATAAACGCCTTGACCAAACTGGATTATGTTATGGAGGAACAGAGAAATAAAAGAGGGAAGGGAGCAAGTTCGTTGCTCCTGGCTTCGGGTACTCACAGCAGTTAGTTGTTGTTTGATCTCTTGTTTTAGCCTTCTTAGACCAGGTCCGCTCAGCGCCCACTCGGAGAGTGAGGGAGCGGGGCTGGAATTGTGATCTTCCTTCGGGGTTCGGGGGGTCGCCGCTCTCAGATGGGGGGGCAACCTTCGGAACCTTCCGGGTGGGGCACTTCTGCGTCTGCTGGGTCCTACCATTCCTCTCGTACTCACGACCGCCCGCATACACAGAAATACCTCAGGCAGGATGCAGGCCGTTCGAGAGGACATGGCTCCCACGGACGCACGGATGCTCATCGGGATGCCGGCGGAGGTAGTCACCGGGATGATGGGGGAGATAGCCGCTGGAATGCCGGGGGGGGGAAGGCTTCTGACCGTGGCGGACACACTCCTCTCTCCTACCATGGTCCGACTAGCAGGCAAGTACAGTATGGTATCGCAGGACAAAATGTGCCGTTTTTTCAGCAGCCGTGGGCTGTAGATGCGCTTGGAAATCCGTACCCGTTGCAGCCGCCGTTCATGGGTCCTGGGGGTCAACAGTGGCCGGTGACGATGCCGCAGGACCCGATTACTGTCGCTTCTGCCCAAATGTCTGCGGCCGCCATGCCCCCGGTTAGTACTTTGCCGCCCCACATCGCTGAAACGTCGGTCAAAGCGACCCAACCCATCGTTGACCACCCCGAGCCTGAGTTAGAACGTGCACGACAGCTATTGCATCGCATGTCTTTGTCGAGTTTCCTCCAGCAGCGGCAACCGTCGGCGACGGCGTCGCCGTCGGTAGCGGCTTTTGACGTGCCGTCGTCGAGACTGCCGTCGCCGGTGTCGCCGCTGTCGGTGCCGTCGTCGCCGGTGCCGAGGCCGCCGGTGCCGCCGGTACCGCCGGTGCCGCTGGTGCCGCAGCCGCCGGTGATGCCACAACAGCCAGTGCCGTTAGTAAAGTCAGAGCCACCGTCAGTATCCTCCGCTTTGCTATCGCATGCATCATTTGCCTCTGTGAAAACAGAGGTACCGCCCCCCGCCTCCGTTGTGAAAACGGAGACGACACAGGTTTCTGGGGTGGTACCGACGCCCTCCCAACGTGTTTTGCCACAGGAACCACCGGTCTCGGCTATCGCGGTGTCGGTAGCGAGGCCACCGCTGCCGGCTGTGCACGCGGCCGCAAGCGATTCCGCTGATGACCGGGCACTGCCCCTGTCGTCTGCCGGTGCACGCACCGCGCAGGCACAGCTTGATGCAAACGCCGTTGCCGCCGCAGAGGCGTACGCCCTCAGCGTGCGCAAAGGATACGGCAAGCTTAAAGTGAACGAATTGTATGCGGTAGTGCCGCTTCCCCCGGCAGAATTTTCTGCCTTCGCTCGTTCGACCGAAATTGTGTTGGCTGAAATCCTGTCGGCCACTGATCCGTCCGGCACGCAGACCATCAAGTCGCCCTCATGGGTGGCTGGATGGTATGCTCCCTTCCACAAGCGTGTCCTCATGGCCATTTCGAATCCTCAAGACGCCAATGCCGCAACCCGCGAATTGGTGGATTCTTCTTTTTCTCAGGTGAAGCGTTTCTTGAAGGCGAAGGACAAGTCGGGGCCCTTTATTAGATAAAATTAGACCATCTGACCAGTTTATTAGATAAAAGTAAACCATCTGACCAGTCAACACACTTTCGGTCGAACGAGCGAAGGCAGAAAATTCTGCCGGGGGAAGCGGCACTACCGCATACAATTCGTTCACTTTAAGCTTGCCGTATCCTTTGCGCACGCTGAGGGCGTACGCCTCTGCGGCGGCAACGGCGTTTGCATCAAGCTGTGCCTGCGCGGTGCGTGCACCGGCAGACGACAGGGGCAGTGCCCGGTCATCAGCGGAATCGCTTGCGGCCGCGTGCACAGCCGGCAGCGGTGGCCTCGCTACCGACACCGCGATAGCCGAGACCGGTGGTTCCTGTGGCAAAACACGTTGGGAGGGCGTCGGTACCACCCCAGAAACCTGTGTCGTCTCCGTTTTCACAACGGAGGCGGGGGGCGGTACCTCTGTTTTCACAGAGGCAAATGATGCATGCGATAGCAAAGCGGAGGATACTGACGGTGGCTCTGACTTTACTAACGGCACTGGCTGTTGTGGCATCACC